ATCACACTGGCTTGATTTTCATGCTTATTGTGGTAGTAAGTGATATGGGTTGCTCCTCTGTATGATATGAATATGATTTATTACTATTAGCTATTGAAAAAGATTTTGGCCTATGGCAGGAAAAAGTATGGCTAGGTGGGTAATCTACAGATAGAGCAAGAAAGAAGATAGAGTCAGGGAGATGCCAGCAGCTACCAGGAAAGCAAGGTGTGAAGTAACAAGTCATAAGTCTAGTGATAAAATACAGAATAATAGAGATGGGTTAATTTAATTTGTAGGAGCTAGTCATTAATAAGCCTGAGCCAGTGGGCAAAACTGGAATATGAGGGCAGGAGAGAAAAGTCCAGTTACAAATAGGTGATTGAGTCCTCAAGGTATACTAAAAAGATGTACTAACAAACAAAATACCCAAACTAACAAATGCACATATCAACACATAGAAACCTAAGAACAAAAACCCCCAAAACAATAAAAGACAACATGATGTGTCCAAGATACCATAACACATCCACTGATAAATCAAGAAATAATGGTGTTCATATACTGAAGTAGTTGAGTCACCATTCCACAGAAATACTAGTACACCCAATCCATGCAGATTGCTTGATGAACTGAGGAGAAAAATGGTACATATACACAGTGGAGTTTTATTGGGCCATAAAAAAGAATTAAAGTATGTCACCTTCAGGAAAATAGATGAAACTGAGATTGCCATATTGAGCAAATATGACAGACTCAGAAAAACAAACATGCTTGTTTCCTCTCATATGCAGAATCTATATTATAAATAATTAAACATATTGTATAATATATCATATAATAATAGAAAAAGGAATATGTTATAGAGAAGGAGATATAAAGAGAGAGGGATCAGAGAAGATACTGGGAGAAAGATAAATATTATGTTTTCTCTCATATCTATGTCTAATAAAAATATAATTTCAAAGTCTGTTAAACTATTCATTCATCACATAACTGTCAAGGCACACACAGATGTCAGCCTATTCCATCTTGTCTGATGGTCAGAGAGTTTGAGCTTAATTTTGCTCTTTCAAAGTTGTTGACCACAGGTGTGGCCAGTAACGAGAGATCATGGTTAATTAGTGTTTTGAGTGCTGAAATAGATCTGCTCCACCTGTCCCAAGGGTCAAAGAACTCAAATCTATGCCTTGTGTCATCCTAATGAAGTCTGTTGCCTCCTTCCACCCACTTTGGACTGTATAAGCTTGTGGAAAAATAAATGAGGTAGATTCAGTATTCACTCAATGCCCCTTCCAATACTGTCCTGTGTTTCCATCCAATTATCCTTTACCTCTGTTCCTTTTGTGTAATTATTCCAATGTTATTCATATGTTCCTGGAACATATGAGTTTATCAAAGCTGGTTTTCTATACACAACTAATTGTTTCAGGGACAATACTTGAATCGAAGCTTTTTCCCACGCTACCAAATCATTTTGGTTACTTCGTTTCCGAAGGCCAACTTAACCACTTGAAGCTTAACACTTAGAGAGACATATGGGGATCCATTTAGCCCAGTTTCAGCATCTGTTGAGGAATTCTGAGGCTACTCCACAAAAAGTCAATATGACTCGTGTATCTTATCTTCATTACCAGTAGAAGATTCATTTCTCTTAATCTGGCCTTCTTGGAAAGAAGAAATATGTTCAGACTCCATATAAATAGAGAATCAACCATCATCCCATCCCATTGCAATCAATATTGAAACCAGGAAGCTACCAAGCTGTGCTCTAGACTGGATATTTTCATTTCTCTAAAAAGCATGAAAATAAACTGAAATAGGGGAAGCACAGTACCCAGAACAATCAATAGGTGATGATGTGGTCAGACCCTGAAGCAGAGCAAGCGCTAACTTTTTGTCTCCTGTTCACTATCTGTTGCCTCAGATAGTTCCACAAGTTGATGTGTGAAATTCATTTCCTGTCATTCTTCTGAATAAACAGATACTTTTTTCTTTTTTCCTTCCCAAGACACAATAATAATAGAAATCATGACATCTAAAACTTGTTCCATGTTCAAACAATAGCATGGAAAGAGAAGAAGTTAAAGCAGTAGTTTGCATGCATCAGAGAGTTTGAATCATGTTGTTTATTTTATATGAATTAGAATTCCTAAATATAATACTACATCATGACATAGTCAGATTTTTAATAAATTTTCATTTTATAATCTTTTAATCATAGTAAATTATGCAATCTATTTATTGGCTAAGTCAACATTTGTTACACTAGAAAGCATTAGCCCCCTACTTTCTTGGATGATTTTTTTTGGTCACTATGAACCTTTTGTTTTATATTTGTATGTGGATGCAGTGTGTGCATGATTTGTTCATGAGCATGTGTGTAAGTGTGGGTGCACACATGCCTCATCATGGAGATCATAGGACGCCTCAGGAACCTTGCTCCTTAACTTCCACGCTGGTAAAGGCAGATTGCTCACTGTTTACTCCTGAGTATACCAGACTAGTTCATTCACAAGCACCCATATCTGTCTCCGATTCCACCATAGAGACACTGGCTCATTCCAGACACAGATCACCTACCATACAGGCTTTACAGGTATTCCAGGGATCTGAACTCAAATCCTACAATTATACATCAAGCATTTTACCCACTAAACCATCTCCCCAGCCCATGGAGCCTCTTCTGAACCAGACATTCCTTGAAACAATCAGAACAACACTTTGAACTTTCTCCTAGACAAATATATATTTTCTTTGTCATGATTATGCTTAGTCATGACACTGTAGTGAGAGCACTGTGCAATAATAAGGGCAGTATGGTAATGGAGTGCTTAGATGTAGAACGATTAACAGCTGCTGAAAATCATACGCCAAAGCTACAAACAGAACCTCAGGACTCATTATGTCTTTCGCCTGTTATGCCACCATGAGAATTTTTCAATATAGTCAAAAGTGCACAAGTCTATTTCATTTAATGTGTGACCTTACTCAGAGTTATTCGTAGAAGAGGAAATGGGAAGCACTTCATGGCTGTAAATTTTGGAGTGCTTCTATAGGATTTGAAATGTTGGTGTCAAATATCACAAAAAAATATAAGTGGAGCATATAGATTTCACATGACTAAAATATAGAACTAGGGATTTTAATGCGTTTCTTTCAAAGAGCAGGAAATGTGTTAGCATCCATACTGTCACATGGTTATATGGGTGTGAAAAACCAGGAAGACTGAAATTTTTAAGCATTCATTGTTTATAAAACCTCAGAGTGTGGTTGCTTTGTGTATGTCCTATGTGCTTTCCAATCGTTTTAAGAAAACTTCATTACTTTCATCCCTAAGAAAAATTGCTTTACAAGCAACTAAGAAATGATATGAGCAGGAGAAATAGTATTCTGGAAGTGTACTCTAATTGCTATGCTATATTAAGTGGTCAGTCCCCAAAGCATATATATATTAGTGAATCCATAATAAGATTATAAGCTTCTGTAAATCCAAATGAAGATCACAATACTGAACAACAAGGGCTGGAGAGATAATTCAGAAGTTAGGAGAAATTTCTTCTTTTCCAGAGGACCTGGATTTGATTCCTAGCACACACAAATTGATTCATAACCATCTGTAATTTCATTTCTAAGGAACAAATAACCTCTTTGACCTCCCTAAGCACCAGATATTCATGTTGTACACAAAAATACATGCAAACAAACACACTTACACATAAAATAAAAATTATTTTTTTAAAAAATTATATTGAGCAACATTAAATAATAATTAATACAGAAAAGGTAACAGTATATTAAAATGTGTTCAATTCTCCCTTAAAATATTATATTCCTGATCAATTTTGCAAGCCCTGAGAAAAAGCCTTTGATTGTCACTTTAATCATTTTTTCAAATGCAAGGAAAAAATTATTTTCTGTGGTAATAATTTGTAAAATTCCTAAAGAAAGCACCACAAACCTAGACTTGCTATTTAATACCAACCACTATTTATGAAGTTAGACTGTATGTGAGAATGGAAGTATGAAGAAAATTAAAACTGGTACGGGAAGTACAGATTTGGTATGTTGAAACCTATAAGGTTGTTTATATAACTTCACTGAAGAAAAAAATTATATGGTGACTGTTGATACCACCTACATGCCAAGATCACATGGTACCAAGCAGGCAGATCTTCTCAGTGTGGGATATAAAGAATAATAAAACTACCTATTGGGGTATCCTGCTGTTACTAATAGTTGCCTCTTTACTTGGTTTCTACTTACCAGACACTATGTCAATTAGCCTGTGTTACATGGTATTTCGGATGTATCCATGGAGAAAGCCTGAAGCTTCCTAGTCTAACACTGTTTTTGACATTGTTACACTCTAAATTTTGAGGAATACATAGACCACATTTCATCAATGCACCATAAATCTTAAAAGTATTTTATATTTCTTAAAATTAAAGTTGGTTTTGGATTTTGTTTCCTTTAAAACATAATGCTAGGAATAACTCTCTGATGTGTCATTGAACTAAATATGTAAAAATTTCCTTTTGTCTGTAAGATGTAATTATGTTTTAAAAAAAAAGAAGAAAAAAATAAAATTAGGAAAAAAAAACCCAACCTTGGCGTCATTTCTAGGTCTTCTAGGTCGAGTTATGATCAACTCCATCCTCTTGAAGTCTCCCATCCTGACTTTTCATGATCCTACGAGGCTGATTCTCATGTCACCTCTTTAACCTGTCTCAGGAATGCCCCACTCACCAGTTCCAAGACTCTAATGCTAAGCAGGTAGAGAGAGCCTGGGAATTGCTGGACAACCTTCACATGTCTGTCTCATGTTCCTGATTATCACAGAATTTGTGCAGGGTTTTCTTGTTGACTCAGGTCTAAAGGACCACTGACTCATAGACAACTACTAAAAGTCATTCTCTGGTCTGGAAACACCTCCTACCCCAAATCTGAAATGTTTACAAAATGGAAATCATCATCTCCAAACACCAACCACAGACTTCCAACAAAACCAGTTTTGCGTCTTTTGAGGAGAAAACATTATATTTATTTCAATACACCATGAAAATTAAATTGCCTTTCTTCAAGATCATTAGCTGGAGCTTCATTTGAATGTGACTGTTACCAAGCAGCCTAGGTTGACCGGAAATGAGGCATCCACCAAACAGCATCTGAATCATATCACCAATATCACTGTCCACACACAATAACTTCAGGAAGTCATGAGTAGGTCCCCATATTAATATTCCTCAGAATATGGATATTCAGGGTGGTCAGAAATACTAAAAGAGGAAATAAAAGCAAACACACAGTTTGATGTATTTCTACAATGTAAGTTGTGACATCTAGGAAAGCACTATCAAGGTGAAAGTTCAACATTTTGTTCCCTGATCAGTTGCAGAAGGGGATATTCTTACAGTTATTTACAAACATGTATAAAAAATGTTTTAAAAATATAATGCATGCACTTTTTGTAAATTATGTCCACCTGCCTACACTAGAACACCCAAAGACCAGTGTTCATTAATATTTATCTCCCTTAGCTTCATCTATGCACCAATCAATGAAGAGTCAAAATCCTTCCCAACTTCAGTCTCCAAAGAAAGGAGAAAAGTATAAGTCACCTTTAGTTCAAGGTAACTCTACACATTGATTGATACAGAAATATGTTAATGTGCCTTAAAACATCATTTATGCCTAATACTTTCACTTACATTTAATTAATAGTAATGCATTAATTATTCACTCGCTGCCCATTAAGTAAAAAGTAATGTATTAAACTCAGTTAGGGAAAGAATGTCCTTCATAAAGTAGACATCCATTGTCCAAGGAGATAACTATAAAATTTGTAAAATTCTACATAAAAATAACAATCCAAAATAAGCATTGATAAAAACCATTAATTGATAAGGTGTGGCAAGAAATATTCATTACTTACAGCAATAACTCGTCACTGAGTTATATCTCTCCTTTGCCTTCATACTACTCTATACTAACAAAAATCTTAGTAATAATAACATATATACCAATTTTACATAGCATTGTAGATTTTCTAATCCTCCTTCAAACATTATTATATTTATTTCTATTGAGAATTAAAATTATAACAAGCAGAAAATATAGATAGATGACAAACAGACATGCAGATAGATAAAAAACAAAAAGATAGATCAATAGATGAATATGCACATTTATGTATACATGCAGGTTTCATTTATAATACAGCCTATACCCAGTATCAAATTTTGTAACCATAGATCATAAAGGGAAACTAAAGATCTTTTGGTAGCTATTAATTCTCAAATATAATAGTGTTTTTTTTCCTGCAGATTCTTTTCTTACTTTAGACTATGACTATCAAAACCTTCTCTATGTTTTAGAATGACACATCCACATTTTCAAATACTCAGAAACAAGTACTGTACTAACTATGTCCATGGAAAAACTTGCTACACATGAATAGGACATTAGGTTTCTGGACCATCATGAATGGAAAAGCAGGGGAAAGACTTGGACCTGAAACAAACTGAGGTGAGGTGTTTACTTACCACTTAGTTGGAAGATATCGAACGTTTCTGTTCAGGCCATCTAGGGTTTTCATATCCTCAGGAGACAACTGGAATTCAAAAACCTTTCAGAAAAACACAAAGGTTTTAATATTTGAATGAATCAGATTTTTGTCTGAAAANACATTTATGTATACATGCAGGTTTCATTTATAATACAGCCTATACCCAGTATCAAATTTTGTAACCATAGATCATAAAGAGAAACTAAAGATCTTTTGGTGGATATTAACTCTCCAATACAATAGAGTTTTTCCTGAAGTTTCTTTTTTTAGTTTAGAATATGATTTTCAAAATCTTCTCTATGTTTTACAATGACCCATCCACATTTTCAAAAACTCAGAAACAAATGTATTAACTATGTCCATGGGAAACTTGCTACAGATGAATAGGACATTTGGTTTCTGAACGATCAAGAATGGAAAAGCAGGGGAGAGACTTGGTTCTGAAACTAAATGAAATGAGGTGTTTAACATTACTTACGACTCAGTTGGAAGATATCGAAAATTTTTGTTCAGGCCATCTAGGGTTTTCATATCCTCAGGAGACAACTGGAATTCAAAAACCTTTCAGAAAAACACAAAGGTTTTAATATTTGAATGAATCAGATTTTTGTCTGAAAGGCAATGTGAGTAGCACCTATGCCTCTGAAAATAATGAACATTGTTTACCAAAACATTCATGATTAATAAATACTCCTGGCGAAGCCACTCTACTCCCGAGAGAACGTTGAGCACCAAAGACACTCCACTAGGAGCTTGTCTTCTTGGCAGAATTGGCCTTTGGGTTAAGAAAAGCCCATACCTCATCTACTGACAAAGATATAAAACAGGATTGTCTTATCTTGCCAAGACAGGGTAGGATAATTCTAAAAAAAATTCCTTGCATTTGATAATGGTATGTCAGTTATGCTAGGCCTTAGCCAAAGTTGGTTGACTCAACATTGCTAACAAGAATTTGGGTGATTGCCCAGGTAGTCTGTTGTCTCTGTCATTTATGGCACATTTTGGATATCTCTCATTTGTCAAGTAATATTTATTCCCTTCTCAGATCTTTGACGGAGTTGAAGATTATATAATTGTAATTACTCTCTACATTATTTAGACTCCTTGAGATAGAATGTCTGGTAAAACTTTTGTTCTCAATATTGTTTGTTATATCTATTATTTGTTATTATTGTTTATAGTTGTATTTGGTTTAGTTCTGTCTTATTTAGACAAAAAGAGGGAGATGTAGGGATAAGCCCTCCCCTTGGGGGCGGGCTGCCCTCTGGCGAATGTTTACTGATAAATTGGGCACGCAGATGCTGCACTGCCCTTCCTGCTGCGGGTAATCCACTGGAACCTTGGTTTCATGAGTCTGGTTTTGTCATTAAACTTGTTCAATTACCTATTATTATTGGTCTTCATTAATCCAAACCACCACAGTGAGTAGCACTTATGCCTCTGAAAATAATGAACATTGTTTACCAAAACATTCATGATTAATAAATACCAAGTGAAATGAAGGAAAATTGCTTTTGAGATATATTAAAATTGCACAATGCCACAGATGAGAGGAATCTCAAAGGCTCTTTGAGGGAGGAAAAAAAAACAGTTAACATACATAGTTTCCAAGAAATCTAAAGCAAAATTTCAAAATAGTGATTGACATGGGAAGTTACGTTTTGGTAATCTATCAATTAATAATTAAAATGTAAAAAATTGCTCTTTTCAACATTATGTAAGTCAAGATTTACCTTAATTCTAATTATAACATGTTCATATAAGAACAAAAGAGCTGACCTAAAAAAGAATCTTATTTTAATTTGAGACATTTTAACTTCAAAATGATTTTTCAATAACAGTTCACATCTTAAACACATGCAGGGCTTGATCTCAAAAAAGTGCACAGAGATTTGAAGGAAGCAAGCATATGGAAGATACTAAGTAACAGCCCTAAGGAGCAGAGCTCATCACCTGCAAATTCTCTTTCATCTCATTTTCTTTGAAACTCTGGGCCAGCGGCACAACCCCACGCTGAATCTGGTATCGCAGAGCAACCAGGGCAGGGCTTTGCTTGTTCTTTTTGGCCACATCACAAAGAACTGGATCATGCAAGAGAACTGGAGAGTTCTGATCCACCCTAGTAGGAAAGTAGAAATAAGCTCAAGAGGCCAAGGTTATGTTGCAAAACACAGTAGAGGATGCATTTTAGACTAGACGTGACGGTTATATATAATTATCAACTGGACAAAGTTCAGAATCACCTGAAACATGGGATTCTAGAATGCCTGTGAGAGTTTATCTTATGAAAATTGATGTGGGAAAAGCCATTTTAATTATTGATGTGACCATTTGCCTGCCTCCTAGACTGTATAAATGGAGACAATGATCAGATCATTAGTGTTCATTTGTCAATCTCTGCTTCTTGATTGCAATGTGAAGGACCATCTGCTTCCAGCTCCTGACACCCTGACTTTCTGCTCTTATGCTTTGCACCCTAGAATTGTGATCCATAATCAGCCCTTTCTCCCTGAGGTTTCTCTTGTCCAAGTATTTTATCAAAGCAACAGAAAAGGAATTTAAGATGCCAGGGCTACACAGAAGTCCCTGAGCCACAAACTTCTGCTTCACATGGTTCTTCTAATGTTGCCTCTCTCCCTGAGAACTGAGTGTCATGATGCTAAATGACAGTCTTGCTTCATGCATACTCTTCATCTTCTTACCATTCTTTATATCGCTGGGTTCCCAGGGCACCATAAGCAACCAGAACAATGTCTTTTGATTTGCAGTAATCCAGTAGCTTACTCTGGTTTAAATAAAGATGACATTCAACCTATGGAAGAATATGAGAGAAAGACATCAGATTATATCAAATACTCAAACTAAAACTTAAAGCCAACAAAGTAGACTAAGAAAAATCATATGCAATATCAATTTGAATTTAAAAGATCAAACTGTTGCAATTTATTTTTGAAAGACAAATGAACTAATTTTGGAAGATTCTGTTAATATATTTGCCTTGGCGAGCTTTTGTTTCAAAATCATACTTAGTTGTCAGCAAGGAAGTTGAGTGAGTAAGGATACCAGCTATTAACTTAATAAAATCATGAGTAAGGAATGTAATAATATGGTAAGCAGCATTTAAACTGCACATAAGTGCTGACCACTAGCTGGTATTTTTTTTTTATTTGAACTCAGTCTTTCAGCAAAATATCCCAAGCCCACTCATTATTCTCAGTTAGAGTAGAAGATTAATTTTCCCTGTGCTTAACTTCTGCCTGTCAGACCAACTCAGAAATTATACATTCTCACAAATACTTTAATAGTCCAAGGTTAAATTTAGAATCACTCATGTCTTTTGAAACAATGATACTGTTCTCAGAATCTTCTTCCACAAAATGAAATCACTGGGGCAGAGGACAAATGAACAAGTGTTAGTCGTTCAGAGTGAAGAAAAGCATGAGAGATGGGGAGGGAATGAGAATCCTTACCTGATTGCAGACAGGCTTGTACTTAAGCCCTGGCTTATTCAGGATTCTCTCTATCTGCTTGTGGTTAAAATTGGACACTCCAATAGACTTGACCAATCCTGCATCCTTACACTTCTCCAATGCCTGGTGATGAAAAAAGGGTTATAAAGTGTCATACTTGCAATTCACTGCATCAGTATAAAGAGAAGTTGGAGCAGTTAGAAAGAAAACTGTCTAGAGCTAGACATATAGTTCAGTATTAGGACACTTGCCAGTGTGCATAAGGCACTAAGTTTGAGATAACAGACACTAGAAAACAACAACAAAAAAGGGTGTGAAGGGGTATATTGCCCGGATTATCAGAGGACTTAAATATGACGAAGCAAAGATAAAGATGAAAATGAAGATGTCAGCCAAGGTTCTATGATTTCTTTTGAAAATAGAGGATGCTGCTACGTAAGATATGTATCCATATAAATGAATTTCTATACACAGGGGAAAGTGAGCTGATTCTCTCTTCCTCTGATTTATTTTTCTTTTGAAAAGTACTCACCTCCCACGTGGCACAGAAATCCACTGTGTCCAATAGTAATTTCCCTTGTTCATCTACTGGAAAATCATTATCCCCTGGCTGGAAGAGAAGTGTTTTTAGAGAAATCTCACAAAAAAACATGTGTCTCACCTGTAGTAATGCTTTTAAGAATATCTTGAAGGACCTGGAGAGATAGATCGGTGATTAAGCAATGACTTTCTGTTGTAGAATGTTATTTTAAAATGTGTTACATTTGGTAGTGCTGTGGAAATTTTTTTTTGCTGATGTAAAGATGTGTTACTTTTTTATTCTACATCTGTTTAACTCTGTGAAGCTATAATTCTTTGCCTATCTAAAACACCTGGTGGTCTAATAAATAGCTGAATAGCCAATAGCGAGGCAGGAGAAAGGATAGGCAGGTCTGTCAGGCAGAGAATATTAATAAAAGGAGCAAGGGTGAAGGGAGCAAGACAGAACAAGGATAGGAGGACGCTAGGGGTCAGGCACATAGCCACCCTGCCTGTCATGGTGGAACATTCAAAGTAAGATTATAGAAATAAGACCAGGAACAAACCCAGGAGGGAAAGGTGGGTCAGGGAGAAAGGGGCAGTTAAAAGCTGGCTAGAAACAAGCTACAGTAAGTCCAGGAATTCAAAAGTAATAATAAGGCTCCGTGTGTGTGATTTACTTGGGAGCTGGGTGGCAGGCCCCCCAAAAGAGCCCCAAGAATCAAAGTGTAAAAAAAACTACCACCACCACAACAATAACAGCTTCTCTTTCAAAGGACCTGGGTTCAATTCCAAGCACCTACATGATGGTCACAATTATTTGTAACTCAGTCCCATGTGGCCCAATGCCCTCTTCTGCTCTCCACAGACACTAGTACACAGACATACACACAAGCAAAATAGCAATACACATTAAATAATTTTTTTTTAAAAATTGTAAAGAACAACTTGGAAATAAAGAGAGTAAGCAGCCATAAAGTGAGGCATGATCCTATACAGTGTGTTTACAAAGTGGTGTACAGGTAGAGTTGTAAAAGTGATCTCTAGGATCCTAATATTGCATTGTTAAGTCAATTATATGAATAAATAAATATTTTCTTATAATAATTTTATTTTTGAAATTAAAATATAATCACATTGATTCCTTCCTTCCCTTTCCTTACTCCAGTGCCTCCCATGTATGCCCTTGTTGTCTTTCAAATTTGTGGCCTCTTTTGCTTTCATTGTTGCCACACACATATACATGTATATGGACACATGCACACACACACACATGTACATATAATTCCTGCACCAAACTGAGCTCTCCTAGCTGACTTGTATTCTTTTATTTACTCCTTTTCTTGTAAAAGAGGAAAATGTTTCATAGTCACTGGGAAGCCCAGTCATTGCATGGCCTTGAACACCAGCAAGAATTTATATAAATCCTTTTTCAGGATAAAAAATAAATATGAATGCATGTGGATTCAAGAGTAGGCATGTGAGCCAAGGATGGCCAATCAGGACTTTGTGCAAGATTGATTGTGATAAGAAAAGGTGCGGAGAAGCCATAAAATGTCAATGACCCTGAAGCTGAAACTCTCTTGGGGCCATCCTTACCACGGAGGGAGAAACAGAGACAAGACTTGGGCAAACATACAGGAATAAAATTAAATTTAATGATGTGTAAATACAAGATTTTCTGGAAGTTGTTTCTAATCTCTGACTCTGAAATTTTCTTTGACACCTCATTTCACAATCTTATAAACCCTCTGTGGAACCTTTTCAGAAGTTTAATAAAATAAATTTGTATGAAATTATAATGGAAACTCGTCTCAACCATCCATAAACATGATATCAATGTCTTCATAAAAATGTGTACATTTGACAACACAAATCACCTACCTTCAATGGTACTGGGTAATGTATAAGGTAAAGATCAACATAGTCCAGTTGAAGTCTTTTTAGTGACTTTTCCAAACTAGGCCGGACCAGCTCTGGCCGAAAGCAAGTACACCAAAGCTACAGAAGTTGAAGATTAGAAGTTTTGATCAATTAATAGATTTCCCAAACATGCATACTTATTTATTCTAATAGTACAATATTTTTTGTACTTGAAGGAAAGTTATAACCATTCCGTTTAATCCAGGATTTACTTAAGTCATACTTAATAATGTGAACTCCCTTATATATTCTTTGTCATTGTTAACTCATTGAACAATGAAAGGAAATTACTCAAGAAATAAAACGCATACTACTAACAACATTCAAAAACTAATTTATATAGATTATAATCTAATAGTAATTTCTCTCACCCATTTATACAACTCACACCTTTAGCCAACTTCTGATCAAGTAATATAATTTTCACTTCTTTAAATTTCACTAATTTGTACATGTGCGTGCTATAAAAACTCTACCTTTGTAGTGATGAACAAGTCTTCTCTCTTTACAACGCCAGCTTTAATCTTGCTTTGAATGGCCTGCCCTATCTCCTCTTCCACGTGATATATATAAGCAGTATCAATATGGCGGAGCCCAACACCTATAGCTAGGTTGGCAGCCTCCAGTGACTTGCTTATGGGAACCTAGAAGAACAACCCAATGAGGTATTTAGAGATGCACATTCTGAAAGCTCGTTCAGAGTGAGCCTAGATGGGAGTTTACTAGACCAGAAAGAGTTAGGTCTTTCAGAGTCACCCTCAGACCACTAGGCAAGAGCCTAGTCCCCTGATCCTTGAACTCTCATTTTTATTCTATAAAGCATAAGGGATTCTACAGAAGTATTGTAGATGTCACGGAAAACCAAGGCTCTCCACAGACTCATTGTCTGCCTATATTTGTCCCACATTTGAAACAATGAGCCAAAATCTACTTTCTTGGGGTCTTTCCTGATTAATAGCAAGACTTTCACATTCATAAAACATCTTTATACCCATGCAATCCTGGTTCTTACTGGTATTGATAAATGCCAAGCTTCAAATGCTTGCTTGGAAGTCATATTCAATTTACATAGTGGGGGTTATTAAGCAAAGTAAACAGAAAGAAGTCTGCTTGGGACAAAGCACAATTACATAGACAATCTTTCTTGACTCCAGCTAAGACACTGTCACATAATCATGATCTCAGATACCACACAACACCAAGTCAGTAATAGGAATTTGAACAGAGAACAGTATCTTATGTTAGTCTTTGTGTATATCCATTTTCTTTGTCTGTGAGAACTAAAAACAGGCAGAGAAAAAAAAACCCTACTCTAGGAATATATCCTCCTTAAAATAAATTGTGAACATCATATTGGAGATTATTCATTTGGGGTGTCAGCCCTTTCAACCAAAGATAACTTGCTTAACAAAGATATGATTGAAATTAAATCTAAAAGTACTGCCTTGACTGTGAGTTTTGGATAAAGATATGACAGTTCTTTATTAAAGAATTTAAGGTGTGGACTGAGAAGATGTCTCAACCAATAAAGTGTTTGTTATTAAGTCTCAGGATCTTAGTTCAGACCCCAGCCCTCACGTAAAAGGAGAATATGGCATGGTGGCACACAGGTGTAGACCCAGTGCTTGGGGAAACAAAGTCAGGGTGATCCGTGGAGCTCACTGGACTGCAAGCCAAGCTGAATCCCTGAGTTCCAGATACAGTGGGACAGCCTACCTCACAAAAATAAAGTGAGAGTTTAGTCAGACTTTTACCTCTGGCATAAACACACATGTGCACAAAAGCACAAACACATATGTAGTCATACAACACATACAAAGGGGTTAAGAAGAAAAACACTACATTTTTTATTATTTAGCAATTTCTACAGTTATCTTTCACAATAAACCACAGTGACTGAAATTCTGCCTGGTACCACCTTCTCTGGATACCAGCTCTGACATAGATAAAAGTAACGTCCCTCTGGGAGTTACCAACACTAAAGTTTTAAACAGGACCCTTGACCTGTTGCTGCCTTTCTTTTTTATTGCTACCTTGATAAGTAACCAATCCTGTATATATCTCCAGATTTATCTATGTAAATATGCATAAATCCAATAGGAAGGAAATGTGCAAATCTGAAGTAAAGGGAAGTGGTCTTTTGTCACAGAATTTAAGAGATTCAGAAAGTTTACAAACAAGAAAGTCCCTTCAGTTTAAGAAACAGTACACCTTGAAGTTTTCCATTCTAGAAAACTTCATGCTCTAAACCCAACATTCATTAATGAAGACCAGTATGGTTATCAGGTCCTCCTTCCCCCAATCATAAGGATATATTATAAATTCCAGTAAGTGTCCTACAGTTCAGAGTTTGTGAGTAGGTTTTTTTTAAAATATTTATTTATTTACTTATTATGTATACAATATTCTGTTTGTGTGTATGCCTGCAGGCCAGAAGAGGGGCGCCAGACCTCATTACAGAAGGTTGTGAGCCACCATGTGGTTTCTGGGAATTGAACTCAGGACCTTTGAAAGAGCAGTCAGTGCTCTTAACCAATGAGCCATCTCTCCAGCCCCTGTTCAGAGTTTGTTATGGGGGAATTTATTTAGCTCTAGTGCAGCATTCGCTGTGTGGTGTAGAAGGTTACCCCAAAACAAAACTGAAGTAGTCCTCAAACACTTGTATCATGCATTACTATAGGGAGACACCCTGAGTTACCACACTGATTTTCATAGATCTTGCCTTCTTGAAAGGAAATATGCTGTGGGTTGTAGATATAAACAGAGAAGTCCCTCTCACTGCATCCAAGAATGCTGATAGGCAATCTGGTGAAGTCCTTCTCTTCTATCAAGTTGTGAGACAAAGACATAGGAAAACCATAGTGCCCAGAATTGTTAAATCATGGATTTGTCTCTTTAAGCTTGGAGCTCACAGGCAGAAGATTCATTTCAAGTTCACTCTTAGAGCTGGCAGGCCCCAAACCAGAACAGTGAACTCACAAGCAGGTCTGGGCCAGAAGAGCAAATCTAAGAAAAAAGACTCAGCCACATTCTGCTAAGACCAGAGAGACTAGTCTCCAGCAAGAATACCTAGGAAACATTAACAATCTCCCTACCCCTGAAGACTGAGTTATAGTAAATGCCTCTGAGGTATGGGCCCTGTAGCTCCATCATATACAACACTAACACCCATGCTCAGAGAAAAGTTTGAAGAGTTAAACATTTCCTTTGTTCTCCATAAAGCGGGCATCACTGCTGGCTTACCAGGAGCAGGGCAAGCATGAATAAAGACCCTATTCTGACAATTCTGACTCAGCCTATCTAAGGAAACAGATTAGTCTCCTACCCACAGCCACCAATTCCAGCCACTGCTGTAACCTCTATTTAACAGGAATAATAAACAAGTGTGGTCTCAATAAAACCCTGATGTAGGCCAAGCCTAACTATCTGCCTTCTTGTACATGGACTCGCTCTGGCCTGGAAATACATGGAATCTTATATCCTTACCTCTTGGGGTTTGTAGGTGCCAAAACCCAGGGCAGGAATGAAGTGGCCATCGTTTAGTTTGACAAACTGATGTTTGGAACTCATGGCCTGTCACTCCTCTGCCTAAGAATGTCTTGAATCTTCTTATGCCTTGTAGGGGAAGTTGGCAATCATCCTATATCATCTTCCGATCTATAGGCTAACAAGTGGCACTCCCGTTCTTCTGGTTAACCATTCTTACTTAGTGGCTAGTGTTTAACTCTTTCTATACCCTAGTTAATGATTAATTAGTGCTACTGTCTGGCTAATGGTTAAACAATATTGCTCAATGCCTATTGTGTAATACTAGGATTGCCTGTCTAATGGTCAGTCAACAGAAAGGATGCAGTAAAGTTAAATCATTATATCACATGTAAGAAGGGAAGCCACTCATTTTCATATAAAGGATGAATTTTAAACAAATTGCTATATACTGATAAAGTATTCGTTTCCTGAAATGTTCTCTTTATTGTTGCGTGTATTATATATGATATATTTTGCATATATTATATATTTGAGGAGAAGAGATTGATTGAATAATCATAATACTTCAGACATTTATTGCCATTTGATCATTATGAAGCCTCTACTTGGCCTTTTATCCTTGAAAACAATGAGCTAGCACTTAACATAGAAACATATTCAAAGAAAAAAGAAGCCACAATTGGACATTTCAAAAATTTTGATACTCCACAATTAGATTTATTTAATAATTAAAATACAAAAGCTTAGTCTTTTTAATTTTTTTCCTGTATTTTTCCATTGTTTTTGTCCCAAGTACAATCTTGAAATACATAAAGGGGACAATACAGAACAGTGCTTAGTGGTTGATAAACCATTGACAACTACTAGGTATTATTTTATAACAAGCAAAGGGACTTAGATATTACAACAGAACTCATTTATTAGATAATTTTGAAATATTTGTGTATACATGCTAGGAATGTGTTGCCAGATACTGTTTCTTTATTCTCAGCTGCTCTGACCCAAAATAATCTCACAGAAATCATATTATTTGCATTAGAAATATTTTTTAAGACCAGCCTCTGTTCTGACACAAATAATTTCAATCAGACCAAATCAAACTGAATAAAAGATGCCCATGTTTAATTACTGCAGTGATCCCAGGAGGCCCAGGAAAGCATGGTTAAGGGAAGAGAGAGATGGAGGAGATGACGAGAAACCTGGGACCACCTGCTTCTTCTCTGGGCAGAAGCCTAATAGTCTGTGAGAGTGGTCCTGACCTCCCCAGGAGAGATCAGCACTTGGCAGACTTTCCCAGAGTTGAAGTTTGAAACAAGGCAACTCCCAGGGGTGGAGATTGAAATGGAGTTTCCTGCTCCATTGGCACTCCAAGGATGGGTGCTAGGGGCTGGGGTGACGCTTTCACCCAGGTAATTTGCAATACTGTTTGGCCAATAACTTAAGCATTTTTCTCGGTAGTTCTTATATCCTAAAATAACCCATCTCCATTAACCCGTGCACAAGGTCAAGGTCTACTTTGAAAGTTTCAGCAGGCACCAGTGGAAGCATCTGTCTCTGGCTACATGGCTTCTCATTGACTCCGCCTTCTTTTTCTATTTATCTTTTCTAGCCTGGATATATTCTGTTAAACCATTGACCAATAGCAGCTTTTTTATTAACCATTGGTATACAGAGGAGATTCCTACATCAGGTGTGCAAGAAGAGAATGTTTGATCACTTGGGAATTGTAGTTACCAGCAGTCATGGGAAATCTAGCTTGTTATATGAATGTGGTATACAATTCTGAAGGCATAAGTCACAAACAATCCCACACCAGTTTGGAATTATGATTAATAGAATGGTTATTTATTTAAGGGGGAAAAACTTACAGATCACCGTCCCAGACAACAGCCCTCTGTGCAATCAGGAAAGGAGCCTAGTCGCCGGAAGTGGAGCTGGAAGCCAGAGAGTGAGCAGAGGGCAGTGGCTGCTTTTTTAAAGAGAGAGAGACCACACCCCAACGGGCTAGTATCTCAGTGGCTATTGGCTGAAAGAGTGGAAGGAGCTCCCGCAACACAAATCTGATGCCATGACTTCAGAGCAACCACTCTTAACCACTGAACTTACTATTCAGTCCCTGATTTTTATATAACTATAAATAAGATGTTAAAATGCAAATGAATGTGTTAGATTCATAGCCTCATTCAACATTCATAAAACAACTCACCTGAAAATAATCAAATTGATATGAGTATTGGACAGAGAGAATAAAGTTAAAGAATTGAAGATAGGTATTTTTAATTCTATTTCACCAAAGTAAAACATGAGAGTAGAATATGTGATATTTTTAATATAATGTGGCCATATAATGTATATTATAAGCAAGTTAAGGCTAAAGTTTATAAAACTTCATTCTTCTGAAAGAAACAGTCATGGGGATTAATAATTTTCCTATTTGCTTTCTAATCTAGAATCAATGTCTATCAAGTTGGCATTCAAAAAAAAAAAGAAGTGTTTACTAAGAAATATAAAAAAGGGTTGAAGAGATAGCTCTGCTGTTAAGAGTATCAGCTCCATTTCCAGGTGACCAAGGTTTTATTTCAGGAACTACACAATTATGTAGCTCCAGGAGGCTCTGATGCCCTCTTCTGTTCTCCTTGAGCACTACATGCAGGTAGTGGATAAACACTTATATAGACAAAATATCTATGCACATGAAGTGAATAGTGTTTTTAAAGATATAGAAAACAGTATCAGCTATATTTCATTTGTGCCTAGTTTTCGTTGCACAGAAACAGAGATTGACCAATGCAACTGAAAGAGCCTGTGGTTCATTGTATTGATTGCTTAGTATATTACATTTGTTTACATGTGTGTCGCATGTTTATACCTTCATCTGCTGATGAAAATTTTAGCTCCTTCCACTTGCTGAACTCATGAAACTCCTTTTTTAATGTTATCATACTTTATTTTTACTGTTGGGAGAATGTGTGTGTGGTACGGGAGAATACCGGGTGGGACAGAAATCCCAACAAGCAGGCCCACATGTTACATGTGTGTGTGTACGTATGTATTAGTGTGGAAGTCTGTGTGGAGAGCCCTCATGTCCTAGAGAACCCAATATTAACTGTCATAACTGAAAGCTACAAACTCCAGACCAAGTAATTCTATGCTACCATACAATGTGGTATGTATAAGTCTGCTTTGTCCCTGTAAGAGACAAGCCGCTCCTACTCCCTCCCTCTTACCTCATCCATTGAGGCAAACTGATCTTCAGCTTCCAGCTTGAGTTCTTCCTCTTTTCCATTTCCCCCTGAAGAGGCAGCTTCTGCCTCACTCCATTCTCCTCTTCCCCCCTCTGTCTTTCTTTCTCTCTGTTTCTCTCTGTTCTTCCCCCTTTTCCCCTTACCCCTTCTCCCCTTTCCCCTCCATAAATAAATAAATATCCAGCTAATAAATATCCAACCTCACTTTGCATGGCATACCTATATGTCTGTCTCTCGCCTGCTGCATGGCTCCCTGCCTGGGACCAGCCACCTTTGGAGACCTGTGGCATGGTCTTGTGGCATTCCCATCCATCTGTCTCGCCTTGTGGGACTTACTGCCCCTTATGGCCCACTGCAGCCACTTGGGGAACTGTAACATCCCTGCCTGAAACTGGCTGTTCTTGGGACCCACTGCCCACTGCCTGCCTCTGCTCAGGGACCTGTGGCATGGTCTCAAAACCTGCTGCCCACTGCCGCTGCTGAGGGACCTCTGGCATTTCTGCCAGTGTGCCTCTCGGGGACCTGTAGAATTTTACTTAATCTATTATATTGGTGCTATGAGACTCAGGAGAGTTTCCTGCCCTGAGCAGCTCTCCCAGGGTCAGGATCTGGAACCGGGCATTTTTTCCACAACAACCACATGTTCCATTTGCCTGAGTGGGATTTCTACATACCCCACCGGCTTCAATTAATGAGTTTCCCCCATTCTGGTCAGCTTAAACATTCCTCTCAACCAGAAACCGTCTGATGTTCCTAGAAATGGGGGTACAGTCCCCAACCATGGTCTTTATGGCTATGGTCTAGCCCTTTGGCATTCATCTCTGGATGGCTTCCCTTAGCAAAAATTGTGTTTGGACAATTTTGGGTCAGTCCTCCCCCAACTGGGGGCCCGTGGTCCCTCAGATTTTTTTCTTTCTTTTTTTTTTTCCCTGCCATGAAAGGCCATTCAGAGCAGCCTCTGGCCTCTCTGGCTTCTGAGTCACCCTGACCAAATCCAGTCAGGCTTTAGCACCCTACCTGTAGACAGAGAACACTCTCCTACAGGTCCTGTGGTACTCACCAGTGATTTACACCCTACCTACAGAGGGGAGATGTCTCCCTGTAGGCCTTGTGGTATCACTGTTTTTGTGGGTTTTCAAAGTTTCAGCTATGCATAGCAAGCTATCCATGTCCATCAATCCAGGCTCCTCTGGGATAGATGCCTATTAGAGGCCCTAAAACTCCAGGCCTTAATGACCTACTTCTTCATATCCTACCCTCACTCTGATGGTGTCCCACCTGCTCCAATTTTATGGGAGCTTTCTAACTATTGCCAGTGTACAGGCAAATGGAAGGAGTTTCCTCAAACTGCCCCTGCCACCACTACTGCTGCCAACAAGATTGGCCAGATCCACAAGCTGGCTATTTTCAGTCCCAGCCTTTTACTGCCCACTGTGACTTGTGGCATGGAGGCTCAGAGACAGGGCTGATCATGCCTCAATGTCTCTCTTATTAAACTTAAAGTCCCTGCAGCTCAAAAATTGTTGCTTTTGCCGGCGATGGTGGCGCACGCCTTTAATCCCAGCACTCGGGAGGCAGAGGCAGGCGGATCTCTGTGAGTTCCGAGGCCAGCCTGGTCTACAAGAGCTAGTTCCAGGACAGGCACCAAAGCCACAGAGAAACCCTGTCTCGAAAAACAAAACAAAAAAAAATTGTTGCTTTTCCATACAACATTTGACTGCTGACATTTTGACTGAGGTCAGGCAACCTACCATCATATTAACTGAGGTCAGGTGACTTCACCATCATCTTAACTGAGTGGCTTTTCCATACAACATGTGACTGTTGCCATTTTGACTGAGGTCAGGTGACCTTATCACAATCTTAACTGAGGGCAGGTAACTTTGCTGCCATCTTGGCTGAGAGCCAGATCAGGTGACCAGGTTCTGCCATCTTTACTGTGATATTTTTTGCCTAGTTCCCCAGTGTTAACTCT